GTGAGCTGCAAAAAAACGACAAGCCAATATTTAAGTACACTCACTTTCATCGACATGTAGAATTGGAATGTAGATTACTACAAATAAGGTTGAATCACTTACAATCACTACTTGTAGGTAAAAGGAGAATGTCGACTAGCAGTAAGCAAGAGAGCTTGAGTCTTTTCTTAGCATCAACCTTTCTGGATTTGAGTTTCTTACATATCTGCTCTGGAGTAATCACGTCCTCAGATTCAAACAATTCTGACCAATATAGGGATCTATCTGTGCTATCTCCATCTTCTAGAACAACTCCATCTTTCTCTTCACCACCTATTGCCGCTGCCACTTTAGATTTGGCAGGAGGATTAGAGCAACTCAAACTCGTAGCCACATCAAACTAAAGTATCGAAAATCGGAATGGTTTTCCGCCAAAAACGATCCAGATTTCGTGTTCCTTTCTAGTTTGCAATTGACGAGAAAGCAAGTAATGCAGAAAAATGGCAGAAGTCGAGACCTTGAACCCATCTTTGAGTAGTTTCCCAAACTGAAATTTTAAGAGAATTTCCTTCTCTGCAGCATTTCTGTCCAAAAACTTCATTATCGCGTGGTAATATTTGATGAAGCAGTAAAAATTGACATTGCTCTTCACATGCTCACAACCATATCGAAACACTCTCTTAGGTAACTTAGGATCTCTCATCTTCGTGTGATCTACAAAGAAATTATAAAGAACTAAAGGGATTAGACAAAAATGAAGCTGTAATTCATAGAATTTTATAACGATAAGTGGAGAAATTACAGGATTTTAAGAGAGGAGACGAAATCTGAGGGGCGGTGAAGCTATGGAGATGAAAAAGGCGAATAGCTAGAGTAAAAGAAGGGATCGAATTCACTTCACCTTTTTCTGTTTTAATTTTTTTTTTAATTTTATTAATCAAGTTAACAAAGGTTAAAAATCAAAACATTAGATAAACACACAAGGCTAAAATTAGAATTCTAGGTATATTAAATGTTAGATACTAAATTATTTTTTAGGTTATGCTAGACAATTAATTATAGATACAAAACCTAATATAGTACCCAATTTTCCTATATTTATAAGTTAAAAATAACAAAATTATGAAAAATTGCGTTTGTATATAGGTTAAAAACAACAAAATTATTATACTTTAGGCTTTTGTTAAGCTATTTAATATTTATTTATATAATTTGTGTTGTTCAAATTGTTTTCAAAATTTATCTACAAAGAGTGGAAAGTACAAGAGCCAATTACAACTTTTGTTTGAAATCGTTCTAGACGTGGGTGGAACGCTCCGTCCGGACCTCACGATTTAAAAAAAAAAAATCAGATATAAATTGAAAAGTATGGGGAGTAATTTCTTTCTGTAGTGTTTAATATTTTATTAGGAGATTGTCCGGACTACACCCGGATATGTTGTGTATAGGTTTATTTGATATTTTGGTTTGAATAAATGTCATGATAGTGTTTCTAATCTTGTGGATCTAGAAAATAAATATATTTATTTAATATAAAAATAGATAAATGATAAGTTGTAAACATAAGAATAATACAAAATTAAAAATTTTAATTAATTGAA